GTGGTGGAGCAATTTTTCATATTTCCAAACTGGAGCGGGTCGATTGATGGTTTAATATAACCAAAAAGCCACCGAAAAACAAAGCTTTCCAATAATTTACTCAGCACCGGTGTGAGAGAAATAGGTCTTAGGTCGCTATCAACTGATTTGGGATTAGATATTTTTGGCGCTGGGATAACGTCTGCTGATTTCCAGAGTGTCGGGATGCAACCTTGTGCAATGCTGGCATTGAAGATGGAACATATTGGACCAGCGAGCAACGGTGCAGCTGATTTCAGTACCCAGTTGGGGATATCGTCGGGGCCAATTGCTTTCTGAAGACTGATCTTTTCCAATTCGATTTCAACTTGTTGGGTTGATATTATGTACTCATCAGGAACAGATGTAATGTGAAGCTTATTGAAGCAGAGTGGGGCCAATTCGTTTGAAACAGCACAGAAAGATTCGGCAATTAGTTCAGCAAGCTCAGGACCTCTTTTGAACTCACCATCATGGAAGATGCTCGAAAAAGGTTCCGATTTAGATACACCAGAAATAGACTTGATGTTATCGTACAATTTTTTTGGGTTATATTCACTGGTATTAAGGATTTTCTTATCGTAGTAGGACTGACGAGCAGATTTACATAGTTTTCTAACTTTGTTACGATAAACGTTATACATGATAGTGTTGCTGGTTAACCAAGCTTTCTGCCTTTTAGAAATGAATTTTTTTATATCTGCAGTGATCCATGGTTTATCTTTAGGGTAACACTTTATGGTGCGCAGAGGGAGGTGACTATCGATAACAGAGGATAGTTTGTTCGAGAATAGGTTGAATTGATCATCTAGAGCAGTTACGTGGTAAAGTGGGGTCCAGTTGATTTGGGATAAGGTGGTGATTAGGGCTTGTTTGTTTGCGGGTCGACAGTCTCTTTTAGTAATGTAGGAGGGGGTATAAGACTTGAGTGACTTCGGACTTTGTTTAGTTGGGTTGAGGAGAACACTTTGGTGATCAGATTGTCCAATGCATGGGAGTATAATGGCATCAATGTAATGCTTCGAAAGGGTAGTGTAAATCTTGTCAAGGATATTGTTACCACGGGTGGGTCTTTTCACAACTTGTTTAAGATTAAAGGATGAAGTTAATGATCCAGGTTTAAACTGGTTAAAGTCTCCTAACAAGACGATGCCTGCGTTTGGAAAATTGATGAGGGCGTTGTCTAGGGATTCAAATAGATGGTTCCTTAGTGTTGAATCGTTATTTTGTGGAGGGCGGTATACAGAGGCTACTACAATTGCATCAATTCCTCTTGGAAGTCTTTTTGGTTTTATCAAGAACCACTGTGATTCAATGTCGGGGTGAGATAAGTCTTTTAATTCTAGGAAGTCCAATGTATTTCTGATGTAGGTGCAGAGTCCACCACCACGTTGATCGTCACATCGGTCTTTGCGGATACTTGAAAATCCGGGGATCTTAATGAGATCGTTCGTAATGTTTGACGAAAGCCATGATTCTGTGATGATTGCAACATCACATTTATTATTAGTAATAGTTGCACTGATCTCATCCAGTTTATTAGCCATTGAACGAGTGTTGCTTAAGAAGAAAGTTGGGAAGTCATAGGATAGACGGGTGGTTGGAATCGTGATTAACGTGCGAGTAGTTGGACGATATTTACTACAATTCCAGCGAGGATGGAATTCAGAGTCGAATATTTGACAGTTTTGAATATTTAATGAGTCAGAAACAAGGTTATGAAAAATTGATGTGAGTGGTATTATGTTGGTGTTCAAAGTCATAGACTCGTAATATCCATGACTTGCCGTTCTTAAGTCATAATATGGCGTACAAGGTTCAGGTGATTGAGCCAATCTTGTGTTCGGCGATTCTTGATGTATTCCCGATGATTCTGTTTTACCAAACTGTCTCGACTCTTCCTGCGGTAGCGTTTCCGAAAAAAGGGACGGCTTTCAGTGCTAAACTTTGACTGTACTGTTTCAACGAGGGGCAAACGGTCTATCCATTCAGCAATCGTGGTACTCCGCGGTGCACACGGTTCAGTTTCTGCTATGGTATTTATGTGTTCCATTCTGGAACTGTTTCCTATTTCGCAAGTATTTGTTACGTTGTGGTCAATTGTTGGTGGTTGGGGACTTCGCTTGGTTAGATTACCATGATTAGCTTCACACATTGTTGATGTTTGTGCACTTGGCTGAGTTGAATAATTTGAGTTTTTTTCGGCGCAATTTGTTGGTGAGTGAGTAACGCATGGTTGAATTGAATTAGAGTTACCATGATTAGCATGAACGTTTATTGGTGTTTGAAAGCTTAATTGGGTTGAATAATTTAACTTTTCTTTAGCATTATCATTAGGCAGTACACGACACCCTTGGGAGCATCTAATCTTCTCCCCTACGGTCGCTAGCTCGCCTCGAAGCTGTTCTATCGCTTGTCTGTTAGCCTCCAAATCTCTCGCAGTTTTCGATTCTATAATTACAAAGTCTAACTTGAGGCCTTCTATTTCGGTAGCCAAGTTGATATCAGCAGTCTGTATGACGGATGGGTGTTGAGCAACACTCTGCTCCGAGTACAGATCAGTTTGCGTGCCCAGTTCACAAGTACTTCGTTTGTCGTCATTTCTAGAATATTCATAATTTACAAACTTTGTATTCAACTGATAGAGATTATTGACAATCTCATGCAGCTCATCAATTTTGCGATTGACTTCAGTCATTTCTGCAAACAGACGACTACAATTTTGACACTCATTTGGTGACTCTCGTCTACTGTTGTTGACTAATACGATAGGTTCTTGTTCGCATGTATTGGCATGGTCGTGCGCCAAATCACTGTTTTTATAGCATTTTATAATCAGATCTTTTAGTTTATTTCCCTCCTCACCTTGAAAAAGCAAAGACTTTTTATTTGCATACCAGGTTAGGCAAATTTGTGAATTATATCAAGAACTTTTAACAATAAAATAAACCAGTTTTGAATGTCTTTGTCACTAAATGTCCCTATTTTGATGGTGGAAAATTATTACACTGTTTAGTGCGGCGCTCATTCGGGGGCGGCGCACTTTAAAAAAATTTGATCTCAAATGCGGCGCTCATTCGGGGGCGGCGCTCAATCGAGTAAATACGGTAGTCAAGCGAATAGTCAACGAATAGTGCGAATAGTCGACGAATAGTACGAATAGTCCGCGAATAGTCGGCGAATAGTACGAATAGTCCGCGAGGCGACGAATAGTACGAATAGTCGACGAATAGTATGAATAGTCGACGAATAGTGGAATAGAGGGGAATAGAGACTTTGCAAGGCTTTGCACCAGTGCTGTAGAACTAAATTTACCGGGGGAGAGAAGGGCTCTATTGACAAACATGAAATCGTGAAAACATTCGTTGACGTACGTCAATGACGTCATACGTAACCGGTAAAAATTACGGGAACCACGGAGTATTTTAATAAAATATAAAACAACGGTAATTTCGAAAATAAACATTTTAATATTCTAGCTTTCGACTAAAATTCAGTCATCGTCAGGAACATATTTCATATTTTTAAATTTATAATCATTCCTGATGGTAAACGGTAACCATATGAGTCATGAATTTTATTGATGGAATTTTATAGGAATTTTACTTGTAAGTTGTGACGTTGTAACTGAAGATTTAAGGGCTTAAGTGATTTCGTGTGCTTGGTGTATTGTAATGTCTATAAATCTCTCTCTTAAATCACAAATACGCGCTGGTTTGAAGGACACAACTTGTTTACTTGAAAAATATATGAATACATTTTTGTTACATAGAAAACTCCACCCACTTTACACCCGTCTATCATAAATGTCAATTATTAACAATTCATTACACTCCCCCATTGACCAGTGTTAGGAAAGTATTTATAGTATCTTTAGTCCATTTCATTTATCCACTGGTCAATTAATTGTCTGCGGTGATTTCCCACAACTGCTGCAGTTCTCGTTGATCTTCGAACAGGCACAATCTCAGGCTCTTGATCGGTTGTAGATTCGGTTTCGTTAGACTCGTAATTCACCTCCAAGGGATACAACTTTTTAATAGGTCTGTCGTAACATCGTAACTCGTCTTCCTTTGCAATCTTGACAACAGCTCCTCGAACCCTTCCATTGTTGCTCTTGCGCAGACTTTCGACTCTACCAAGTTTCCAAATTGATCTTGGAATCTTAATTCCTTCGCCTTGTACTATCACCATATCTCCAATAGCAATAGGTGCAATAGATTTCTTCTTTACCGATAGATTGTGGTTCTCTCTCAACGCTAGGAGATAGTCCTTCCTCCATCGTAGACAAATCTTATCAATGATCGTAGACAAATATCTGGCACGCCGGTTTAGAGACTGATGTTGATTTTCTGTATCGTCGATACGTCGTGTAATCTTGACATTAGGAAGAGACAAAACACGTTTACCAGAAATCAGATGGGATGGGGTAAGTGGTTCAGCCATATCATCATTATCCAAATAGGTCAGCGGCCGAGAATTCAGGATTGCTTCAACATCTACAATTACCGTTAACAACTCGTCATAACTCAACTTCGCCGTACCAAGTATCTTCTTCAAGCACCTTTTCACACACTTTATCATGCGTTCGAAAAAACCACCCCACCAAGGGGCTCGAGCAAGATTGAACTTCCATGATATTCGTTTAACACCTAAGAATTTCTGGATTTCAGGTTCTTTCAGCAATCTCGCGATTTGTCTGGACGCCGCCTTGAACGTGAGTGCATTGTCACTTATCATTTCCTTGGGAATTCCACGCCGTACCATAAGGCGCCGGAAACATCGAAGGAATGCTTGTGTAGACAGTTCTGGGACTAAGTCTAAGTGAACTGCACGCGAACTAGCGCACGTAAACAAAGTCAAATAAGCCTTTGCTAAAGTACTTTCCTTGCTGTTAGAAGCAACCTTAACGTATAAGGGGCCAGCGAAGTCAACGCCGACGTAGGTAAAAGCTGGATCGCAACTCACTCGAGAAAAGGGTAGTGGACTTGGGATGACGTCAGGATAAGAGCGTCCTTCAAAGTGACGACATACAACGCATTTAGTTATCACATTTCGAACTACCTGTCGCCCCCTTTCGATCCAAAAACGTGACCGGACTTCGGCTAAGGTTTCACGCACTCCGTTGTGTCCGACCCGGCTGTGACAATCTCGTATGGTTATTGTTGTAAAGTGATGCTTTCTTGGAATGATTGCAGGGTATTTCTCTTCGTATGATATTTCTGCGTTAGCTAGTCGTCCCTTGCAACGAATGATTCCTTTAGTGTCTTCGAACAGTCCCAAACGATTCTTCTTCTCGACATAGTTGCTGTCCGAACGTACGTCTCTCTGTATGAATAACAACCAGTAATATTCGGCCCGTCCTAATTCTTCGGCCGTTAAACACTCCTTAACTAATGACGTTCCTTGTCGTTTTCGTTTTAGATTCTCAATAAATCTTAGAACATAGGCTGTGACGGAATACAGCCGACTGACACTACTATAATCTTCGCATGTAATGACTTTAGAAATGTTCCCAACCGCTTCGTCTATCGCACTCACGTGAACGCGTGTACTTTGTACTTCACGAATCTTGAATGCCTTTGCTTCTAGTAGAACTTCGTTTGTGGGTTTACTCAATTCTTCCTGTCTCGGGTTGTAGTTCCTTACCCAGTCTGGACCATTCCACCACTCGTCATTCTTTAAAAGATTGGTTGCCATAGTTCCTCTTGATGCTATGTCTGCAATGTTTTGTTCTGAAGAACAATGAAACCAAAATTCTGAAGGAATTAGTCCTCGAATTTCAATGACCCGATTTTACACAAAGGGCTTCCATTCTCTATCTTCTCCTCTTATCCAGTAGATCGCCGTTAGAGAATCTAACCAACAATAGGTTGCGCTAATCTTGACAATCGGTCTGAGTGCTTCGCGGATAGAGATAAATAATCTTGCTAAAATAGTTGCTGACAGTAACTCCAGACGAGGAATGCTTTGCTTTACGAGTGGAGCTACGCGTGTCTTACAAGCAACTAACTGTACTCGATTCGCTGTCGCAGTTAAAACTCGGATGTATACTACGGCTGCATATGCTACGATGCTCGCGTCCGCAAATCCAAGTAATTCAACTGACTTGATTTTATCAGCAATATCTTCGATATAGCAACGTGCCGCCTGGATTGTTTTACATTCTTCTAAGTCGTCTTTCAATTCCTTTACCTTCGAGTACAGTTCTTCAGATATTGTTTGATCCCAATCCACGCCGTCTTTGCACAACTGTTGGAATAACACTTTCATAGTGATCGTCACGGGGGCTATTAGTCCAATGGGATCATAAACCTTCGAAATCACACTAAGAACCTTGCGTTTCGTAATAGGGGTGTTTGACTCGAACAAGTCCGAATAATTCTTCATGTCAAATACGAGCTTATCCTCCGTCGTGTTCCATTGTAATCCAAGCACCTTACGAATATTTTCACAACTGTCCGTTACATTCGTACCCAATGATGATGCGGCATAAGTTTGGTCGTCTTCAGCGATTTGCTTCTCGGACGTTCTCTCAGTTACAGAGTTATCGACCTCGTGGCTTGCGATCTCCTCTCGCAAAGTTGGATCGTTGGTTGCCCACTTCCGGAGACTAAATCCCCCTTCTGACATGCGCTGTCGACTTTTCAGATATAACTCGTACGCTGTCGGTATTGTACCGGCTCCACCACTAAAATCGTCCACGTACAAGGAAGACAGGAAGGCAGTGATGAAGGATCATTCACGTAACTATTGATGTGATGAGCTATGGTGGCATTTAACCGAAACGGGCTGCTAGTCACACCGAAGACTACCCTTGCCAATCGATAAGTTAATACTCGAGGATTTTCACTTGCAATGTTATCTATCCAGAGAAAGCGCAAGGCATCTCTGTCCTTCGTGGATATGGAAATTTGATGGAACGCTTTTTCTACATCCGCTATCAACCCAATCTTGTGGAAACGAAAACGAATCAAAACATCGACTATCTTTGATAAAAGAGAAGGTCCCGCATTCAAACATGAGTTCAGAGAGGTTTGGTGGTTTTCCCACTGGCGTTGTACACTACACGAACCTTGGTCGTTTGCTTGTCTCTGCGAATCACGGGATGATGGGGCAAGTAATGCACCTTTCCAGGCGTGCAACTGGCACTTTCGGGAACCTTTTCAACTATTCCTGTCTCGATCTGTTTCTTGATTAGCTCGTCGTACTCTTGGAGTAGCTCGGGGTCCTTTCTCAACCGTTTCACTTGGGATGCAAGGCATCGTTCACTCAATTCAAAATTGTCGGGTAAGACGGGATGACTTTCTCGCCACGGTAAACATACTTCATAGCGACCGTCCTTGAACTCGATTGTCTCCTTAAATTGCTCATGTACTGGGTCCTTGTTAGGGTTAACACCGATCGCTTCTAATTCCCAGAATTTCTTCAACTGACTGTGCAAGTCCACATTCAATGAATCCTCTAGCCTGCGAACAGGCTCACTGGGAGAAAGGTGAGCCTGCACGGAACCATGCGTTTTATTCATTCATTCCCTTTTCGCATCTGCTAAACGCTAACCAATCAGCGTCGACGGCGATAAATAAACTGTCAACTGTCAAATTGACGCAAGGCGTGTACATTGTGCAACATGAACAATAATAATACAAAGCATTAGCGGGCCGCACAATATATTACTCGGAAAAATATAGAATTCTTCAAATATTAAATAGATATCAATAC